CAGGGGTGTCCAACCTTTCACCTTTCCTGGGCCACATTAGAAGATGAAAAGTTCGTTTGGGCCGCACATGCATTTGGTTTGGGCCGCATGGGGGGGCAGTCCTAGCCGTCTTCCGCAGCCCCGCTCCAAGTGCGCTTACCGGCAGCTGCAATCTCAGGCAGCAGAGGCTGCCAGCTTTGACTCCGGTGGCTTTATGGGGCTGGGAGGGGGTCCACCTATTGACGGGGACAGCGCAATGCAATCATGCAGCCCCCCTGTCTCCTCCCCTCCCACTCCTTCCTTCCTTCCCTCTCTCCCCCTCTACTGTTATGACATGCCCCTGCCACATTCCGGCCGCAAGAGCCGGCAGTGTAACTTGAAACTTTGGAATTTCTTTTAAAATAAAAAATTGCACTGGGCCGCATTACGAGCTGACCTGGGCCGCATGCGGCCCTCGGGCCGCAGGTTGCTTTGGATACTATGGAACAATCTTCCTCAGCCAGCTAACCATTCATATGAGCGTTCTGAACAAAGGATTAGTTGCATGTGTGAAGCAGCACATAAAGCTGGTCATTATGCTTGGGTCTGTTTCTCTTGCACCAAATCCTTCTTAAATCTGGTTATACATATCTTTGGGGATGACAAGAGCTTTCTTCAATGAGCGGAGATTTCAACTGTCTTTTTTAAAAAATTAACTTTTGTTACATCCAACAAAGCAGAAGAATACAAACTGTAAAGATGGCAGCCATTGAACTAAAAAACAAGATATTGCATTAATAAACAAATGCCCCTTCTTCCCAGTTTCCCCCTCTAATATACATAAAGTTACAACCCTTACAAAACAGCATTAATAAAGTATTTCTTTAGCTGTTAAAATAAATCCCTACAAAATTGTACTTGTCGGGATGGTGGACTGCAGGTGGTTCGTCTGTTACTAACATAAAAAAATAAAAGGTTCCTCCACTATCGACTCTACTTTTATGGGTGAGCTTTTCAAACAATGCCACTTCCCAAATCCTATCTAATAGTTCAATCTTTTGCATTCCTTCAGCTGACTTCCAGTTTTCCTCCAGTTTTTGACTTGCTAATGCTAGCAAAGGTCCGAT